GACAGCCGTGACAGCTAGTGGAATCCCGGAAAATAAACCGTGGAACTTTGACCAATGAGACAACAGTTTACTCGTGCGCTCGCGTGACTTGTATTAACAAATTTGGTCCGTTTTGAAACTTTGCCGTGTGAAAGCGAACCACACCAAGAATAAAAAGAAACATTGTAATAATTGTAATCCCTGTTTCGGAACAAAGCAATCGATCTACAGGTGGGAAAGCACCCTTACTCATCATATCTTCCATATCCCACTCATCGAAACTTTCATTCCCAACGAGAGTTGTTATTGTGCAATGTGTACTTTACGTTATGCATTTTATTATGAAATGTGTTTTATGAGACATGATCAATATAAATACTTACAGTTAAGGCCGTCCATTGTCCACAATATTATGTTTATTATTATGTATATTCATTATTAAGTATATTCTTAAGGATGTTTTTGTTTTTGTTTTTTAACTAAAAATATTCTACTTTGAGCTTGGAATAACTAGTAAATTGCATATTTATAAAACATATGAAAATTTAAGCTAGGTTTTTTATTATTATTATTATTTACATGCAGGCAGAAGCAGCCTACAGACCCAATGAGCGCAAATATGAATACAGAAAAAAATTGTAGACATATGCCACCTTAAGATAATAAGATAAATTACGTTTTATTATTATTCACCATTTAAAAGTAATTTTGAAAATGAATAAAATGGTAAATGTGGACATAGTAATTGTAAAATTGCTCATTTTCCTATTTCTACATTTATTTCTACATTACACGTATTATCTTTCTCATCATTTTAACACTCAATCATTTAAAAACACTAATAATTTTATGTCAATTAACACTGTTAAATGTTCTTCATTTTTAGCTGATCTTAAAATGAATATCCATTCATACGATGAATTATAATATTGTGATGCCTGAATTCCTGTGTAGCATTTGAAATGATTGCCTTTAGTATTGGATTTTAATATTAACCATTCATCAGTTGCCATCTTGAAAATAATATTGTCTTATCGGTATTAGCCGGAATTTTAATATTGGTACATCCCTAATATTCTTACAGGCGAAAATGTCTCCCTGTCTCATATTAAACACAGAACTTCCTGTAGTGCAGATCTGTCCGTCCTGTTTACATCTGCTTTATTCCTCAAAATATTGCCGCCATTCTATTTTTTCACACGTCTGCTTTTATTGCTTTTCAGTCTTGAGAGACCTCATCCATTACTGCAGACATGTACTGCAGAGACACCGCAGCTCAAGGACACTGTCGCTATAACATGCAGCGTGATTCAGAGCACCATGTGTCTACTGATTGACCGAATGCTGGGAGGCAGGAATGGGTGGTTATGAGTGTTACAATAAATACTGACAAACAGCAAATCTAATACAGCAAACAAGGTGCCCGTCTGCAACTGGTGATGATTTCTTGTCACGCTGTATGTTAAGTGTGTGTGTGT